TAATTTTATATTTATACGTGTATTAAAACGAAAACAGTAAAAAAATATCTGTATTTCAAACACACCTACAAGGTCGTTTTAAATAAATACCTTTCACCAAGGTCGTGTCTTATCTGTTGAGCGTTTTATTAACCGATTTCAAAATTTATTCAGTGCCATCCAAAAAGTCACTTTCACCCAATAACAATTTCAACGATTCCTTTATCATTTAATCAAATTCAATTCAAGCATTGTACACATATTACTATGATACGTTATTCAGATTCAATAACAACAACGACCTACTTGATTCAATTCAAAAATGTTAAACATTACATTCAACAGTTCTGCAATGTATTTTATATTACCCGCTGGTAGACAGCAATTCAGGAAACACGTTATTTCACCAACACTAATATTGTTGTATGCAATTGTTTCTGAGAAAAATTATTGCATTCTATCAACTTTTAATTCGTATGTAACAAGCCGTAATGAATCTGTATGAACACGCTGTTTTTACTGAAAGCGTTATTACTTTGATTAATTGTATATACTTTGTTTATTAAAAACTATGTTTGTCATAAAATAACTAAATACCTGGCACTCTAATAATTATGCAAATAACCGGTTGATAATAATTGACCCGTAATTTGTGCAATATTATACAATATAAAGGCAGAAATAACTAATAATACTAAACTTTCGAGGTATACCTACACAAGATTTAATATATTTCAAGAGCCGCTCAAAAGACATTACACGAAATACAATTAATATTGAAAAGTGCATTTGGTTTGCGGTTTCAATTATACCCTACTGCGGTCAAACCGCGTAATCCGGGTCCAGCTATGTAATCGTTTTGTTTGATATGACCTATTATAAAGGAGATTATAAAATATAGTGAATTTATTACGCAACTTACGTACACAGTGTTTAATAATATCTACATGTTTTTAAATAATATAAGCGATTCAAAGTATACCTTGAATATAAGTATATAAACTTTGGTTTAATTGTAATTTTATAAAGACCATTATTCAAATTAAATAATATCAAATACCATATTTTAATAATTGTTATGCAGTCGAATTATTAATAGTCTTACGGTAGAAAAATATCACATTATACATGTCGCGAGTATAGGCAACACAGTTAATATTAGCAGTAAATCTCCACACTTAAGTGTTGCATTTAATTGTATAATGATTACTATAATAACAGATTTCTAACTATCTATTTCCTTATAAAAAAAAATACATACATAATTGTATATTATACACGTACAACATACGGTTATATTATAACAATACTACAGAATCGATTTCACAACATAATGAAATTAACTCCAAAGTTAATTGTTAAACAATTAAATACATTAAATAAAAATTATTACGATATGATTATAACCGTGTAATTTATCATTTTTATGACATGTATAATAGTTATATTGTTAAACTATTATTTACCGGTACTACCTAATATGTTTTCAGAAAATATTTCATATAAATAGTTGATTATACTTATTGCCTACTTCTGGTTTTATGTTATACTATTAAATTACATATTTAGTAATTATTTTCTTCAATAACAATTTCAAATACATCATAGTCCTATTATGTAATTTAATGTAAAAACACTGATCGTCTGCAGTAAAATTATTCATGATATTATTAAGTACGAACTGTATTACTACTAAGAGTCGATTCTAATTAAATCAAATAACGAGTGAAAATAATATGATAGGCATTTGTCACATAGTAATATTAGATATGTATATATGTCTTACACAAGAAGCTCATTATATTATAAAATGTTCACATTGGTAGTATAATAATTTTTATAATATACTCAAAATTACTATTACAGTATTTTATACAGATAATAGCTGTATAATATGTTCGTACGAGTATAATATGTACCTACTAAAATGTGAATATACCTAAATAAATTCATGTTTTTAATTTCTCAAACAGTTTAACCAGTTCATTACCTATATTTCAAAGCTAATAATGAATTTAAAATGAGAATATACTGTAACTTATGTTTTGATTTTTTTTTTTTTTTTATGCAACAGTAAAGTCTACGGCTTTTTATTATATTCGGATTAAAGCTATTGTTTATGCAACCAGTATAAAATAAAATGTTGTACAATTCAAAAATTTTTACTTTGAAGTATCATACTCGAACAATAAAACTAACGACAAAATTATTAACGGTGCATTAATGGTGTACTTATATGTAACAAAATATAAAAACAAAACATGTATAAAAAAAAAAAAATTTGAAAGAACTTTAAACTTGAGTTTTACTTTATGCTTGTTATACATACATTTTTTCAATGAATAATTTATAAGTAACACATAAAAGACTTAATCACCTGTTGCTCAGTTATCAAATGTATATAACAGAGAATTACAACCTTTCGTCTTTTATTCAAAAACCGCTTGTTTGTCCAATCGCTTTTATTCATCGGACAAACGGCCCATTGAGACCATCCATTCGTACAACATGTAAAGTAAATCCATTTGTTTTCCATGTGTACTGTATTTACATAATGCAAGTAGTTTTTGACTAAACAGAGAGTGGCTGACTAATACATACAAACACACTACTGTGAAATAACACAATTGTGTGTTAATAATCTCGTTTGCGAACTTTAAAAGTTAAACAAATACTACGAATATTCTGTACATAGTTAGGCCACACATCATGTGTAGATAATAAACTATAACATATACTCGTACACGCTATACATAGTTTAATATATATATATATATATTATACAAACATTATCATATGTTAATTTGAAATAATATGATTGAAGATTCGGAATAAATATACGATGAATATTTACAAGAATATTATATGAACGATTATGAATAAACGCGCAGTAGGCAAAGACGTATTCAGGGATTGTCCTAAGTAAGAAAAAAAACCCCCTTTCTAACCTAAATTTCTTTAGCAATAGGTGTATTTGTAAAAAAAAACACATGATAGTGAAACCAAAGAATTCTTAACTACACTTATAGTCTGAAAAATATACATACTAAGTATACATAAAAATAATCAGAATTTACCACACCTAAAAATGTACCCAAGGGACCCAAGCCCCCTTAGCCTCCCACCTAAGTACATCTCTGGCAGTAGGTGTTTATAACATTAAAATTTTTGATTTAACATGACGAAATTATAGCGTTCTTATAATAATTTAACTTTTATTAAGTATAATAATATAATGTACTTAATTCTACCGTTCACGCCAAGCCGCATAAATGTTACATTTGTAACACATGTTTTATTTAGCGTATATTACACTTAAGGGCCAAAACAAATGTTTTCAAAAACTATTTAATTCTCCATTTGGTTTTATTATTTGATATGCAAGAACATCAACAAAGTCACCAAAAAAAAGTTAATTAATGACAGCATTACGACTCACACCCCGACCGATCACTGCTTATGATTTTTCTATTAATTCTTTTCAAACGTATTTTTAAAGTATTCATAACAATATTATTTTTCTGTTCATATTATAGTTTTCAAAATATTTTATGAATCGATATTATTCATAAGTTATTCAAACATAGTATAATATATATATATATATATTTGCATACTATTTTTAGAAGATTTAATATCTTCTGCTGCGTTTCGTTTTTGATTTTTTCTTTCTCGATTGCAGGCGAGGTGGCAGCCAAGGTATAATAAGTGAGCAACCCCAAAAAACAATTGAATAACGAATATGTAATAATGGTAACGCTAGTGAGTTTATCATCAGTACATCTAAGGCCACAGCTAAATAACTGTTGCTTTGACATTAGTCTATACTTATCAACGGGTTTATATGGAGGAACTGGTAAAGATAACTGGTACCGTCTTATACGTATACATATAATCTTGCAAAGTATCTTCTTCGTAAATGTATTCTATTCGTGTTACGAATAGACATCATTAAAGTATTATACATTCGAGTCTGCTCACACCAAAACGCCTGTTGTCAGACCATAAAAAAGTGACAAACTTAAGATTTATATATTCATGTTAACCACGTTATAGAAACAAGTATAATTTTATAAACGGAATTCGTGTATTTTTATATTCTACCAAGATGTATCACAAAAACTTTATTCGTGTACTAACCACCTTTAAACAGATACAGAAATACTTCGTTTATATTTAATACCAAGCTAGAATAATTAATTTGTGTCACAGTATTAAAATCCATTAGAACTTTCACCGTCAGAACAATCGCGTAGAAAATGTTCTACTAATTCTATTACCGTGCAATGTATAGGATGGATCCCTTTAGCCTGGTAATATTATCATGATACTATTGTTATACCATACCGTTTACTGTGAATTATTATTAATATTATATCAACCGAATGTGTTGTGCACCGAGTATTTCTCTAAAACATACCTCGCTCTGTAAATTTATCCGAAGCACAGTGTCCAGAAGCGACATCACCCATGGGTTGGAAAATAGTAACTGAAAAACATTAAAATTAAATTATAATATTTATGTACGCGCTGAATAGCATTATTAATTATAGCGTTGATATACACAATTATTCTCAGATGTCCGAAACTCAACGAGCATTTCCTACACATATAACATGTGTAAAGCACACGCGGCCCGGGGACAAGAGAAACGGTTAGGCAGTACAGGTCCTCATTTTAAAAAATACATTTTTATTTGTAAAATGATGCGACAGTAATTATTAGATTTAACGAATTGTATACGTCAGTGTTTCACTAACTGGGCGCTACGAGTATACTCCAGGTATGCCGTGATTAAAAAAATAAATAAATAAATAATTAAACAATAACTAAAAAAGGTCTTCAAAAATGGTAAAAAAGACTCAGATGTGTACCCTAAATATTTAATAGAAATCCCAGTGTGTCGTGTTTAAAAAACCGTTTGAAAACCATTGGTATACACTAGTACATATAATGCAACATGCAAATGTCACCGTTGTTAACAGAAGTTATAATGCTAAATATTATATTATGTTAAACAGGTGGAGCAAATAAACACGGAATTCAAAATAAGAGCCCTTAAGTATCATCCGGATAAAAACGAGGGTGACAAAAACGCCGAGGAGACGTTCCAGAAACTTAATGTAAGCACTATAGCGGCGTTCGCGCCTCGTTTGATACCGTACACAATACAATGTACTTAACGTTATTATACTATTATTGTTGTTGCTGTTGTAACATTATCATGTCGTCTCCGGTTGTTTGATTATATATTTGCATAATGTACGAATTGTGCATCCAGGAAGCCAAAGACACGCTGTGTGATCCGGAAAAACGGGCTACCTACGACAAATGGAAGAACAGCGGCGTGGCGGTCAGCTATAAAACATGGCTGAGCAATAAGGAGCACTTTCATCAGGTAACAGCCCTTCAGTTTTAAGATAATAAGAACACAGTAGTAGGTATCACCACGGGTATTACCGTAAACATCGTAAGCGCTCAATGTTGAATCCGAGATTTCTTAAAGAGGTGGTGTAAGTAATGGTGTAGGTTATGATGACGATTATAATAAAAACAGCATTTCCGTTGCGTAGACGATTTTCTTGTTTTGAATACAAAACTTTTATAAAACAATATTTAAAGTATCGTTTACAATGGGCGAATTTACACGCTGTGTGTCAACGGCCAAAAATGTTTTATTGCTTAGTCGCGCACACGCATTAATTTTTACATGTGATAAGAAGTTGTTATTGGTACTTAAATAGTTAAATCATTCGTTTTTCCTAACTTTATTCTTATATTGAAGTATGCTGTTCCCTGTGTGTCATTCTTACTTGATTCATTTTATATCTTATTTTCACAAAATTACATTATAATACATTAATACGAGTAAAATATAAGTCGAAATGAAAGCAGTTGATATAATCATGAGACATAATAAAAAACTTCAATCGTTTACTATACAAACGCTTACCAGTATACAGTGCTGTAATCACACTAACTTGGGCTCCCTCCCACGTCTTGTCTTTGCAAGGAAACCGTACCTTTAATCAATTGTGACCAAACTATTTTGAATGTCGACTATACAGACCGCAAAAGAAACGTTGATATACGATATACATTATGTATAAAACAAAATCAATCAATTATTTTTCAATCTCCATTAATAATTATTATTACAAAATGGTTTTATTTTCTTGCTTTCTATATATTTTTCAAATGTTATCATTGGGCCCTATTATAGGCTGGGTCCATGGGCCCATGTGTTTGACACATGAGACACATCCGGTTATTGCGGCACTGTCAGCATATAATATATATTATCATCCGATCCGAGAGGTGATTATCAAAACATATATTGCAATTTATAATGAAAAAATGTTGACAAAGTAATATAGTATGTAGTTTGATAGAATATTATGAATTTATGTTTCAACCATATTTTATGATAAATTTATATAAAAAATAAATATAATTTGAAAGGAGGAAACATGGTTTCCTCGACTTCTACCTACCTACGTGACTGAATATAATATGTGTAGTAAATTGCATATATAGTTTTATTCTACTCAGCGTTGTTAAACCTCACGTATATTTTCAAGATTAACGATAAATAACGTTGATGGTAATAATAATAATATATCTAGTGCCTCGATTATGGGGTGTTGATTTTTATTTTATTTATTATATTTATTAATTTTATTACAGCCGGTGCCTATATAATATTACACGTATCTTTTATACGTATTCTTCACAGAAAGCGATTAAACTGCTACACTCAGCTGTGTTTTTTGTAATAACAAAGTAATCCGTTTAACTGCGTATTTTTCTAGCCTACGCTTATTTATTATAATAATAATATACACGATCATCCCGTCTTTCTCCTTCAAATGGATGGGATGAAAGGGAGCACAAATCGGATATCGCGTGCGCTCAAACGAGGAAAGAAAGAAAAGAAAAATATGAAACGGCCATCGCCGTCGCATTTATTAGCTACATATTTCAACTCAAGCGCGCTTCAACTGTCTTGTACTCGTACTTCCACGCACACAGGGATGGTCATTTCGATCTGTATAATATAATATAAGCTTTTAAATCGAGAACCGTGTGGGATTTATGTTTGCACGTACCCGATCCATTAATATAAACCCTACCGTTGCCCATCCCAATCCACAAAAGTATTATATAATCCTTTCGGGAAAACAATAAACTTAATCCGGTAACTGATAACAGTTGGTACTGACATCTAGAGGTTTTGTTAAAGTATTTTTATGTATTTCATTCGGTGTATTATTTTTAAATCGAAACAAGTGCTCGGCCGCCGTAGCTCACCAATTCCAGTAGCCAATCAATACATATTTTACTCTTTTAAATTATTTTAATTTCATTTTTTTTATATTTATATATATACACCGAGGTCAATGAAAACTTCATTAATCAATGTACAATTTTACTATAATTCACTTTTTTTTAAATTATCTACCAACGTAACCGAAATAGCATTTTCTAAATATATCGACTCGTTAACAAAAAAAAAATATATTAAAAGAAATCCGGTAACAAAAGAGTTGTATAATTATTTAACAGGGCAATTTTTAGGGGTTTCGCTTTTTTTGCTGCACCACGTTATAATACATAAAGTAACACATTGCGGTGAACAAAATAAAAATGCAAGTCTTCGAGTATACCTGTTTGATTAATTGACGAATTTGTAATATTTTTTGTGTAAAGGAGGGGGGGGAATATCTCTTATTGTTTAAGGGAGTAGAATACCGTTATGTATAGTCACATTGTCTACATACAATCATACTAACAACATTTATAATTTAATATTATGTATACGCATATTTTGACAGACACATATCGGTCGACTTTGCTGCAGTAATACGAAAAAGTGACTTAGAAAACTAATTTTGAACTCTTCGTTTAGTCTGCATATTTTCCGATAATTTTCCTATATTTATAATATTGATTTTCAAAAAACAAAAATGCACCAAAACGCACATTAAACAAGTCGCTAATTCCAATTTGACAAACGTAATTATTTTTTGAAGAAAATATGGAAATAATTGGAAATATAGGAAAAACGATCGACTTCACGAAGTCTTCAGACACGTTTTTTAAAATCCGTATCGCACCACTACAGGACAATAGAGATACGTCAGACCAAAAATTTCGTCTAATTTTCGCGAATGGTATACAGTTATATAGTGTACATAGATAGAGCAACATCGTATCGTGATATATCCAATAGTCCGTTAAACGGTCTGATTATTTTGGCCTAAAATTATAGGAATTTTTTTTTATGTTAGGGCATCTCTTAGTCCCTTTTTTTTAAGTCTTTGAATAGGATTTCCTAGAATTTTGAAAATAAAAAGATGTCTATGGTTCTTGTGTATGTTATAGTATCTTTTGTAATAATGATGGGATAGGATTTGGAATGGAGGGATTCTTTGAGCGTTACGTAAATTTAGGTTCGAAACATACCACAGATAGTAGCGATGCCAAAGCTAGGCCACGTTGCCATTGGGCATTTTTGCGACCTTATACATGATAACATGGTTATTTTTATAAAACAAAAAATAAATTGTAAGACTATGTTCTCATGGACGCGCGTATAACCGTTCAGATGGCTGCGTATCACGCGCGTTGTACGGGAATGTTCTAGTCAAAAACTATATTACTTAGTATAGTTCAAACAGACTGTCATCAAGAATTGATACGGAGTGTCAGGGTTGACGTTCCTAATCGTAAAATAATTAAAACGCTCGGATTTGTAGATACTCACGTTCTTATATTTTGATATAAAACTTAGATATATATAAATACACACATAATATGAAAGGACGAGTAAAGCGTCGGCTTGCTCCGACCAGACTTGTAAAAGTGAGTCGGAGCAGTCGGTGGTGCTTGGGTAGTTGGTCGGATCCTAACGTTACATTATGGGGTTATCATAGATATACGTTCGTACAATTAATGTGTGGATAGAGATTGACCGTCACCGGAACAAGCTTGATTATGCGGTACTCCGGTGGCGAATCAAATCCGGGAAGAACAACTTAATTAAGTGCTTTGTGATTTGTCAGCGCTGAAAAGTGCTGTTTTAGCTACGGTGGATTATGGATCGAATAGTGGTCTGACTGTGGAGATTTGTCAGCTGGTAAACGAAGTTCCCGGATTGCGATTATTCGTACAACATACGGTCTTCAATGGCTGGGCTTCCTGCTTGTCTGTTTGGTCGGAAACATAATCCTCCGGAATCTGGTCTCGGACTTGGTATCGTCGGTCGTGGAATCGGTCCGACGCCGCACCGAAAGGCTATGTACGTATCCGTGGATTGCAGGCCTTGATTACCCGTCGAGGACGTTCGCTAAATATTAAGATTTAGTAACCGACTAATCCTGAGCGGTGTAATCCAGGACACGGCGCCACGTAGGATACTGTATATGCAATTCATTTACACGGGCATTCGCAACGGCAGTCCGTGCCGGGTCTCAGCAATCGACGTGGAATCGGCGAGTGTGGTCAATCGTCCGTCACGGCTATAGTTTGATTTCGTAACGGTAGCCCGTCGATGCCGGGCTGCAATTTCGATTCCGGTCTCTTGATTGGTCCTTTTGAATGGTTCTAAGATCGTCGCGGTGTCGCGGTCTTCTTCGGTGTTCTTCCTTTTCAATATTCAATTCAGTCTTGTCGTAGAGTGTAATTGAGGTCTTGAGAGTAGATTTTTAAGTGGAAGAAGTTATTTTTAATCGGTATCGGAATGCCAGTATATAACCACACTGCCGTATCAACTAGTAAACTTTCTGTGTATCCTAGTTTTAACCGGTGTCTGGTTGCGTTAAGTTTCTGTTGATAACTTCTCTTCCCTTGTTCTGATTACGTCGTGGGTGGTGTCTATGGATAGGTATTTTCATCCCCTATCCGATGATCCCACCCTCGATTTTGTCACTTCTCGACTTTGTCCTTCTTCTCCTCCTTTCCTCTCTTACAGACTCTCCCATATCTTCCGTCTTCTGTTGGTGACAGTGTTTTATTTTCTCGGTGAATTTGGTAATATCTTCGGATAGGTATTTTTCTCCCCTATCCATTGATATGACCCCCGTTGTTGTGGTTTGTGTTTAAGTTATTGTTTTCCGTGTTTATTTAATAACGGCCTGTGATTATTCGATACTGGTTTGTGTTACTTATTGGTCATGAGAGAAGGACCTTTTAAATCATGTACGTGTACTGAATGTTCCATATCAGAATGAATGTGATAGATGCTGTGTGTTTATTGGCCGTCCACCGAAATATGAGAAGATGCAGAAAATGAGGGAAAGAAAATATTGGGTTCATCCTATTTTGAAAACAAGGCTTTCTTTTAGTCTTACATTATTATTACATTATACATATTTAGTATTATATTATATCCTAAAC